CTCTCTCTCAAATAAATAAAATCTTAAAAAAAAAAAAAAAAGAATTCACTGAGGAGGAGGTTTTGAGGCCAGTGAGAACCCTCCGGGAAAAAGTATCAAGGAGATGCGTAAGACTTGCCTTTGCTTATTAAACCACTGAGTATCCCGGGTATTCGTAAGGTCAAGCTTCTGGGACCCCAAGTTGGGTAACAACAGACTGACACCTGCAACGTGACTCCAGGCCTGAGCAGGAGTCCCTTCGAGGCTACTTCAGAGTCAACTTTCCCCTCTCCAAGCCACAAACAGGCGCTGCCAGGGAGGGAATTCCGGGAGCTCCCTCCGTGGGAGCTGGTGGGAGCGGCGGCCCAGCTTCGGGCTGCGGACCGGGCCGAGGCGAGGGGAGGGGGCTTTGCATACCCGCGCCCGCACTTCCGCCTCTCCCCCACGGGGGGAGACGCACACCTCCAGCCGTAGGGGACTGGGGCGGGCAAAGACCGGTCGGTCACCGGGCCCCGAGGCCCACCCGGGCCGGTCGCAACCAACCCGAACCATAGCCACTGTCGCTGCAGCCCGCCGCAGCGTCGAAAAGGGCGACCGGGGACTCGCCACTGCCCCTGGTCGCATTCGCAGGGACCTCGGTGCCCGGAGCCTCAGAGACCCCTTTCCCGCCACTGGCGTCCGTGGGGAGGTAACCGTTCAGGGCGTCTACCGGCAGTCGCTCAACGGAAACCCGGGCCTGGCACCGCGCGCGCGGCCCACCAGTGGTTTCCCCGGGCGACAGGTCCCGCCCCCGGGCGGCAAGCCCTGCCCCCGGCCGCGCGCCGCGCCAAGCTCCTAGCCGAACCTGGGGTCGGCTGTGGGTTTGGGCGGATTCCGGGATGGCTCGTACCTGCGCAGGCTTTCGCATCCCTACTCTTCCTTAGTACTCTGTCTTGCCGCGGTACGCTCCTGGCGCTTGGCACGCAGCTTGGCGTCATACTCATGTTGGATAAACGAGAAAAAGATCTGCTTTCCTTGGCAGGTGCGGGCCAGAGACCAGTGGGCCAACGAGCGAGGAACGGCCATGGCCTCCAGGGGGCGCCCTTTCCACGAACAACTGCCGGGCTCCCAGAGCGCGCGGGTGCCCTCTTAGCTCCGTTTCTTCCTTGCTCTCAATTTACTTACAGCCCCGAGTCAAGATGCCAATTTCGTAAAACGGATTTCTTACGCAACTAAACTTTAAACGACTCACTTTATTTGAAAACAGTATTGATAAATTAGTACGATTCCTATTAATGCAACATCTGTGTTAATTTAGTTCTAAATTGAAAGGAATGTCAAATCCATTACAGATTAGCAGTTTACCTCTTGTTCACCTTTGCAGTAACTGCAATTGAAATCTGTTTCAAAACAAATATATAGTTGGAGGTACTATTATAAAAGTGTACCTTCTTTCCAAATAAGTGGATGTAAAAGTTTGAATTAGATCTAAAACGTTTCCTCTTCACACGGATTAAATCATGCAACAGTGAAACGGGTATCTGACCTACCTACGTTATCCTGATGCTGTTTTACATAATCACAAACGGATTAATCACAGAGATCTTTAAATATAACCATCATAGTCAGTGTCAGTATATTTCCAAATCTGTCTTTAAGCCTATGTTATTTAACTCATGCAAAGATAGAAATTTTTGAAAGATGTTGGTAAATGGGGTTAATGCAATACAAATTTCTTGATAAATACCACCGTAATTCTTTCATTTTAGGGAGATTGATTTTATTTTCTTCTGCTATATCCATTGTCAGTAATTATCAACTCTGCTATATCCACTGTCAGTAATTATCAGTTTAAGAAGGACTTTAACTTTCAAATGCATTTGAAATATATGTCAATTTCACAGTATTTACATTTTTTACTTCTTTGATGGAAACAAGCATTCCCCAGCCATTTCAAATAGCAAACATATTTAAATAGTGACTTTTTAATATATTTTTATTATTTATTTATTTTTTAAAAATTTTTAAAAAGATTTTATTTATTTATTTGAGAGAGAGTGAGAGAGAGAGCACATGAGAGGGGGAAGGGTCAGAGCGAGAAGCAGACTCCCTGCCGATCAGGGAACCCGATGCGGGACTTGATTCAGGGACTTCAGGATCATGACCTGGGCCAAAGGCAGTCGCTTAACCAACTGAGCCACCCAGGCGCCCTTTAATATTTTTTTTAAAGATTTTATTTATTTAATTTAGAGAGAGAGAGGGTGCATGAGCTGGGGGAGGAGCAGAGGGAGGAGAATCTCAAGCAGACTCCACTGAGCGTGGAGCCCTATGTGGGGCTGGATCCCACCACCCTGAGGTCATGACCTGAGCCGAAATCAAGAGTCAGGGGCTTAACCGACTGAGCCACCCAGGGGCCCCTCAAGTAGTGAATATTTTAAAAACATTTTTCTTTACAGACCTCTCTGATTTCTGTGTGCTGGCTACAATATCCAAACTCTTATTCCTTGTTAATGTGAGATTTAAAAATATCATTTAAGGAAATTCATAATACTGTATTCTAGAAGGCTCATTGGTTGTGATTTTTTAGAGTCTTGGTGACTTGAAGAATAATGCAAACAATTGATGCTACAAATTACTACCCAACTGCAGCTGACATTCAAGTAATGACATTGGAATATGATGTTTTTAAAAATTTTTTTCTTGAAATAATGTGTGCATCAAACATGAACAACTCCACTATATCCATTGTCAGTAATTATCGAGGGGAAAAATATTCTGTATCAAATTTTTAAAAATTAAATTTTGGATTTTGAGATAATTGTACATTCACGAGTAGTTATAAGAAATAATGCAGAGATCTGTGCCATTTACCCAGTTTTCCCCAAAGGTCATATTTTATAAAACTACACTATAATATTACAACTAGGATAGTGAGATTGATGTAGTCAAGATACAGAACATTCTGGGGCACCTGGGTGGCTCAGTCGTTGGGCTTCTGCCTTTGGCTCAGGTCATGGTCCCAGGGTTCTGGGATCGAGCCCCGCATCGGGTTCCCTGCTCCACGGGAAGCCTGCTTCTCCCTCTCCCACTCCCCCTGCTTGTGTTCCCTCTCTCGCTGTGTCTCTGTCAAATAAATAAATAAAATCTTAAAAAAAAAAAAGATACAGAACATTCCATCACCAGTAGAAGCCCTCACATTGCCCCTTAATAGTATACCCACTTTCCACCTGTCCCCACCCCATTCTTAATCCCTGATAACTATTAATCTGTTCTCTATTTCTATAATTTTGGGGGAAATCTCATTCCAGGATTGTAATATAAATGGAAGCACTTGGTATGTAACCTTTTGAAAATGGTATTTTTTACTCAGCATAATTCTCTGGAGATTAATCCCAGTTGTTTCCTACATCAGTAGTTTGCACCTTTTTCTTGCTGAGTAGTATTTCATGACGGATATACCACAGTTTAACTATTCACTTACTGAAGGACATCTGGACAGATTCCAGTATTGGGCTTTTATGAATAAAATTGCTGTCACCTTTTGTGTATAGGTTTCTGTGTGACTGGGATTCTTCATTTTGCTGGATTAAATGCCCAGAAATGCAATTTGCTGGGTTGCATGGCAGTTGCATGTTCAGTTTTTCAGAAACTGCCAAGCTTCTGTACCATTTTGTATGCCCACCAGCAAGTTATGAGTGAACCAATTTCTCCAAATCCTCTCCAGCATTTGGTGCTGCCACTATTTTTTATTTTAGTTATTCTGGTAGGTATTTAGTGATATCTCATTGTCATTTTAAGTTCTTAATATTTCCCAATTGGCTAATGACATTGAACATCTTTTCATGTGCTCATTTGCAATCCATGTATCCTCTTCAGTGAAATGTCTCTTTATTGGATTGTGTGCGATTTTTTGTTTTGTTTTGTTTTGTTTTGTTTTTGTTTTATTGTTTGGACCCCCCCAGCTTTACTATGGTATAACTGACAAATAAAATTGTAAGCTAAAGTGTATAATGTGATGATTTAACATATGTATACATTGTGAAAGATTCCCCCTTCCAGTAAATGCATCCATCACATATTTACCTTTTGTGTGTGTGAGAACATCTAAGTTCTATGCATAGCATATGCCAGTGATACAACACAATGTTATCAACTAGAGACACGTGTTACACTTTAGATTCTCAGACCTTATACATCTCATAACTGAATGTTTTTATCCTTTTACCAAACTCTCCCTATTTTAACTCTGCCGAGATTTGTTTATATATCCTAAATATTAGTTCCTTGTCAGGTATGTGTTTCGTAAATATTTTGTCCCATTCTGTAGCCTGTCTTTTCATCTTCTTAATAGTCTTTCAGAGAGCAAATTTTTTAACTTTGTTAATGTCCAATTTATTGATTTTATCTTTTATGGGTGGTGTTTTGTGTTAAGTCTAAAACTCTTTGCCCAGCCTAGATCTTGAAGATTTTCTACTTTTTTCTAAAAGTTTTATAGTTTCATTCAAGTTTCTGACCTGTTTGAGCTAATTTTTGTTTAAGGTGTGAGACTTAGCATTCATTTTTTGTTTGTTTGTTTATGGTTGTGCAATCACTCCAGCAGCAGCTAGACTTCCACCATCTTTTTTTTTTTTTTTTTTTTAACTTTGAGCATGAAGCCTGACTTGGGGCTCGATCTCACAACCTTGAGATCATGACCTGAGCCAAAATCAAGAGTCAGACACTTAACCGACTGAGCCACCCAGGCGCTCCTATAGCATTATTTATACTAATGAACTTAAATATCCTTATCCTTATTCCCAAAATGTAACATTTTAGGTATCTTCTCTGAATGCTATTTTATGCAATCATTAAAAGGGATATATATGGAATTATTATAGCAACATGAATCACGTAAAAATGTTTATTTTTTAATTGAGATATAATTGGCATGTAACATTGTATTAGTTTCAGATGATCTATCATCTTTGAATCCCTTAACACTTAAATAGGTGAACAGCAGAACTTCATTATCATGCATTTTCTTTTGGGATGCATTCGTACATAGTAATGAAAATTAGATTGACTGCAGTTTATTTTTGGACATCTCTCACTGTGTCATTGGTTCTTCTCAAAAAATATAATTACTCAAGATAATACAATAAAATACTTAACTTGTATTTCTTTCCATTGTTACCCTGATATACTGTTGTACAGCTTGTAAGATGAAATTTTATCCAGTGCTATTGTATTTACATTTGTATCTTATTGATTTTAATGAGGATGTTTCTAATCTATCTTCAATTATTTTTTTAATAGTTTTTTATTGTTATGTTAATCACCATACATTACATCATTAGTTTTTGATGTAGTGTTCCATGATTCATTGTTTGTGCATAACACCCAGTGCTCCACGCAGAATGTGCCCTCTTTAATACCCATCACCAGGCTAACCCATCCCCCCACCCCCCTCCCCTCTAGAACCCTCAGTTTGTTTTTCAGAGTCCATCGTCTCTCATTGTTTGTCTCCCCCTCCGACTTACTCGCCTTCATTCTTCCCCTCCTGCTATCTTGTTCTTTTTCTTTTTTCTTAACATATATTGCATTATTTGTTTCAGAAGTACAGATCCGTGATTCATCAGTCTTGTACAATTCACAGTGCTCACCATAGCACATACCCTCCCCAATGTCTATCACCCAGCCACCCCATCCCTCCCACCCCCCCACCACTCCAGCAACCCTCAGTTTGTTTCCTGAGATTAAGAATTCCTCATATCAGTGAGGTCATATGATATATGTCTTTCTCTGATTGACTTATTTCACTCAGCATAACACCCTCCAGTTCCATCCACATCATTGCAAATGGCAAGATCTCATTCCTTTTGATGGCTGCATAATATTCCATTGTGTATATATACCACCTCTTCTTTATCCATTCATCTGTCGATGGACATCTTGGCTCTTTCCACAGTTTGACTATTGTGGACATTGCTGCTATAAACATTGGGGTGCACATAC